CAGAATTTTTTCTGATTCTTAAACAATACAATTGAAAGCTCCCAGCAGAGTATCAGTCATAAGGAGGGTATGTCTACAAGATGTTCACTGAATCAGAGTTACTTTAGTGACTATTTGAAAAAGGTTCCAGTAAAACGCTTCGATATGCTCTTATATAAAGCATAACTTCTTACTTTAAAGAATAGCAACATCACCAGATCATCAAGTCAGATTCTCACTGGCATGTCACAACAGAGAATGACGCAATGTGCAATGTAAACAGAAAGCACTCCAGTCTACTCTTCAACCCCATCAATTGAAGAGACCGCACAGTTACCAAGAACGTGTCGCTCCCTCCACCCTCCTCAGAGTTAAGTCACACAACAGCCCTGGCACAGCTCTAGGCAGTGGCAATATCACCGAGGAGCTGGCCGACTGAAGAATAACACAGGACAGAGGGGCGGAGCAAGAGGGAACTTGGTCTCGTGGGTAGGGACATTGGGTCCACAGAGAGCGAGCTTTTTCCTGAGATCAAATGCCCCTTTAGTAGCAGAGGCTGATCTCAGACTTGGCGTCTTGACTCTTTAATCGGCTGAGAGGCAGCTGCGATATACACATGGTCACAATAAAGTTCAAGGTCTAAGTAAACAATGTAGCAAAGGGAATTATTTTCATTTCAGCAAACTGTTGTTGAGGGCCTGTTTGGGTACAAACATCGTGAGGATTACAAAATCAATGAGCCCCCAAACAAATGTATAGCTGATTGAAGAAAATTTGTCGGCCTCATCCTCTCTTTGCATGGATACTACATGCCAGCCTGGCCTCAGCCTTCACTGGCGGGAAAGGTCTCGATGTAACATAGGATGCAAAATCATGATATTGAGAGGGAGATAGTCAGCAGAAATAAAGCGATGCCCAGACTGTTTTTTGTCCTGAGGATCAAATAAAAAAACACTCACAATCTTGTTACTTTAAGTACTTCATAATTTGTGCAAAAATTTGGGATATATTTATATAAAGGAGGGAAGAAGATCACATGTGAATACATGGAAGCGGGAGAAACCTTGGTGCCTGGAGACAATTAAGATCAGTATATCAATGTGGTTAATGGTGACGTTAGGCTGAACTGTATAAATTGCTATTTTTGTAAATTAAAAGTGGTTAATTACCAGTAATTTCATATCATTTAACCTAATATATATATTGAGGTCATGCAAGAGGCTGCTAGAAAGGTGGGCAGGGACCACCCCATGGTGGGAGTTTGGATTTATACTACAGCCTGTGAGAAATCTCTATAGAAGTTTAAACAGAGGAGTGACATGATATATATTTTATAATTACCATTCTGATAATGTGGTTGACCTTGAAGGCAATGAAACTGGATTTAAAGAAACCAGTTAACTGATTAAACTAATAGTTCCTTAACTCAACAGTATTTATTTGTTGTAGTATTTATTGCAGTATTTGTTGATTAGGGGGCAGAATAATGGTCCCCCAAAGATGTCCATGTCCTAATACCTGGGACTGTGTATATGTTATGTTACATAGCAAAAGGGACTTTGCAAATGTGAGTAAGTCAAGAATCTTGAGAGAGAAGATTATCCCAGGTCATCTAGGTGGGCCCAAGGTAATCACAAGGATTCTTACAAGAGAGAAGCAGGAAGGTCAGAGTCAGCCAGAGATCGGAAGATGCTATGCTCTGAAGATGGAGGAAGGGGCCACAATTCAAGGAATGCAGGCAGACCCTAGAAGCTAGAAAAGGCAAGGAACCAATTCTCCCCTAAAGCTTCCAGAAGGAATACAGTTCTGGGACACCCTGATTTTAGCCACTGAGACCATTTTGGACTACTGACCTCCAGAAGTGTAAGATAAGTTTGTGTTGTTCTGAGTCACTAAATTTGTGGTAATTTGTTACAGCAGCAATAGAAAATTAATACAGTTGCCTGGGTGGTGGTTAATTTTATGTGTCAACTTGACTGGGCCCAGAGTGCCCAGATATTTGGTTAAACATTATTCTGGGTTGTCTGTCAGGGTGTTTCTGGAAAAGCCTATCATTTGAATCAGTAGACTGAGTAAAGCAGATGGCCCTCTCCCATGTGAGTGGGCTTCAACCAGTCATTTGAAGGCCTGAATAGAACAAAAAGGCTGAGAAAGGTAGAATTCGCTCTTTCTGCCTGACTGTCTTCAACCCGGGACATTGGTCTTCTCCTTGGTCTCAGACTGGAACTATACCATTGGCTTTCCTGGGTCTCCAGCTTGCCAACTACAGATCTTAGGACTTCTCAGCCTGCGTAATCATGTGAGCCAATGCCTTCTAGTAAATCTCTTCATTATTGGTTCTGTTTCTCTGCAAAACCCAGACTAATACACCTACCACATGTAAAGCATTTTGCCAAGCATTGGATCAGAAGTAACAAAGGCTTGAACTAAGGAGGGCGGTGGGAATGGAGACAGGGGACTAAACTGGGAGAGGCTGTGCAAGTATAATCAACAGAGCAGGTCTACTGAGTGGATGAGGAGACCCTAGGGACACCCCTCCGGCCTTCTACCTTGAACGTGCAGATGGATGGTGGGACCGCCAGCTCAATTTAAAAAGGCAAACAATTTACTAGTTTATTATGTAGATTTGACTAGTCAAAATAATTTACATAATTTGTAAAATTTTTAAAAACTTATCTAGCCTTTAACTACTTGCTTTGTCGACTGCTAAAGATAAATTTTGTCTGTAGGATTCTTCTCCTGCCTCAAGGGAAATACCCTAGAGCAAAATGCCCAGACACTAGACACATACGTGGCTTATTGCTCTGGAATAATCTCAAACCCTTATATAAAGAGTGTGAGTTTTCTCATTTTCCCTCCATTGTTCTGTCTTCTCATTTCACCTCTCCCCCTTCCTCCCGGGCTTATTCTCCTTCCTCTACTGACTTCCATCAGTCACCCGCAGAAAGGAAAACTTGATACTGGAGATGTATTAAGCACTGTAAACTAAAGGAAATGGTAAACTAAAGTGAATCTTTGAATCTTAGAGAACAGCTAGAAAAAATCTATCATGTTACAAGTGTTAGAAGTCGGGTCCAAAAATGTTAATTTGTTCACTTTTTCAAGGTCATAAAACGAACTAGTGGCACCATCCAAAACTGTGAAGGATCTGAGCTTTTCCTAAACAGGAAATAACAGAAAATGCGTTAGCCTGCCTCAGTTTCACGGATGCTGGTAGAAATCATGACATTCCTGGGTCGGAGACGAAGAATAGCTTATCACTCACAGCAATGGCAGTAGCCAGAGTATTAGCATTTTTGTGCCAGTTCCCTGGGCCCCAATCCACTGAGCGATGCCAAGAGCCAGATGATGGCTGCACATGCAGTGTATCGTATTATGGAAAAGAAACCCTGAGTTTAGGAAGCCCAAGTCTTTTATAGTGGACAGTAAACACACCTGCCTTTTACTCTGTAGGGAGACACAGCTCTGCCTTCCTAGGCTGTTCACTATACAAACATCCTTGAAAAGAGTCAGAACAAAAGGCAGTCAATGCCTCAATAGCAAGATGCACAGCAATGCAAGAGATTCATAGAGAATCATCTCCTGGTAGGCACAGGCAGGATTGAAAGCTGTTCTTGCCTTTCTCCAGCAGCATTCTTCTTCTGTGCTCTACTGCAATTCAGTTCTGGCACTAAGCACCTGGAGTTAGCACAGACCCCACTAGTTAAGGGGAGCAGTCCCCAAGAAGACTGCCCTCACTTGATGCCAGCTGCACTTCAGGGGTTCCTAGGCCACCCGCACTTCTGACCAACTGGCAGTAAACCGAGGGGTTCCCAAGATCTGCTCAGGTTCAGTAATTTGCTAGAACAACTCACAGAAGTCAGGAAAGCTCTTTGTTACAACTGCAGTTTTATTATAAAAGGATACAAATCAGGAGGACCAGCCAAATGAAGAGACACACAGGACAATGTCTGGGAGGAAGCACAGAGCTTCCCTGCCTTCTCCCTGTGGGGTTAGAGTGCGTCAATTTCCCTGCACATCGATGGTCACCAAACAGAAAGCTCCACTTAGCTTTGTGTCCAGAATCTTTATTGGAGTTTCATTAGTAGGCATGATTGATGAAATTATTGGCCATGTGATTGAACTCAATCTCCAGCCCTTCTCCCCTCCCTGGGAGTCAGGCAGCTGAAAGTCTTAACCCTCTGATCACATGGTTGGTCTCTTTGGTGACCAGCACCCATATGGAAGCTATCTGGTCACCCACCATGAGTCACCTCATTAGTGTAACAAAGACGTCCCTGTAGATCAGAAACGCAGGACAAAGACCAGACAAATTCTTTATTACACCACAGTTCATTTCACAGGAACTGCTGCATTTGTACTAGCAGGGCACTCCGTTACCCGTGGAGACTTTGGTTGATTTTGAATGGCTCTTAGTAAAGGCATTCTGGAGACTTTTTAGAGGTCGTGCTTCATCTCTAAGTGTGCAGGCTTAAAATGGATCTTAACAAATACATTTGTTCCAAAGCTGACGACCACATCTAGGAAAATTGGTATATTTCATATTGCTACCTTCTTATCTCTCTAAAACTTTGTAAGCAACAAGAAAGGAAAGTTTGTTTAAAAAAAAAGTTTAAGAGACAGTGGTACCAAAGGCTCTCTTGGACAGAGTTTCAGTTTTGCAAGATGAAAACAGTTCTGGGGACTGGTGGTGGGGATGGTGGCATGACAATGTGAATGTACTTAATGCCACTGCACTGTACACTTAAAAATGGTTAACACAGTAAATTTTACGCCATGTATATTTTACCACTATACAAAAAAAGGGCTCCCTTGGGTCATTTTTGGACTAATTTAATCTGATCTCAAGGACAGAATCTTTTCCAGCTAGTTAAATCAATAGCTTCCCTTCTCCACTCCCTCAAATGGGGCCATGGACAGCTGCCAGTAATGGGAAGTGAGAGGAGTGAGGTCCTGGCATCTCTCCTCTGGCAGCTGCACAGGAGCCCTCAGACAGGAGGGGCTCCTCCCACCCACCATACCTTCTGAAGATGCTCTGCTGTCTTCAGGAAGAAGCCCAGGTTTCAGGAGTGGCTTAGAGGGTGAGCAAGCCTTTACAGCCAGAGGTTCCATGCAAACACTCACTGGGTACCTGTCCAGTAACAAAACATGATGAAATTTAGCTGATGTGTTGGCGTGATGAGAGCCTGAGGATTGGAATTTTTGGTGAAAACTTTAAAACCTGAATTGTCTCTCAAAGACATTTCCCTGCAGAATCGGAATGTGCTGTTGCCTTCTCTTTCCCTTCTCATGGCTTTAAGTTTTGTGTCTCCTTGTCTCTATTTGCTGTTTTATTACAGGGACTGAATTTCTCATCTTTATATAATAACCGCTTGTTATGTTACTGCCCAGATGTTTCCTATTTGTATTTCCTCATGTAGCATCTAAGAAGGTTCAGGGAAGAACCCTACATTTATCCCCTAAAAACTCTACATTTCATGTTCCACTCATTCATGGAGTGTTCAGACTGATGGACATTTGTTGAGGATCCATTGTGGGCCATTGACTGTGGTATATTAGACTCTGGGGATACAAACATGGTAGGGAAATGGGCTATAAAGAGTCCTTGCCCCTCCAAGAACACTTGACCTTTAAGATGAGTTTATTTTCCTGATAGAAAATGTCCCATCATTTGTTCTTTTGAACAAATTTTGGGGACTTAGAAAAATAGAGTAAAACTGAATAAAGCTTTATTTTTAGAATGGATAGTCTTCCTTCCTTCAGCACATCTCCAGGCCTCACCTGCCTGTGTGTACGATTAAGTTGCATTTCCCTCAACATTTCTAGCTCGTGAGGCCTCCTTGAGTTGCTACAGAACCTTAGTCCTTTGTCAAGTTTCTAAGTGCCCTTCTCCGCAGTCCCCTGAGGCTTACTGAGGTGGAGGTGGGTCCAGGGTAAGGCCACGTAGGCTGAATCAATCCATCCATCTCCTCATGGAGATCCACCACACACGAGCTCCTCTCGACCGCAGGCTTGCTGGCACTCTGTGGGTATGGAGCTTCTCAAAGGCCTGTAGCCTTCCCTGTGGGAAGCCACCCAAAACCTGCGACGTCGGGAGGAGAATGGCTCTGCACCCAGTGTTGGATCGCACATTACCACTTCGGCACTCAAGGCAACACTGGCTCCTAGAAAGCAGTTTCTTCAGCTTCTGACTCTAATGCTTGGATTCCTGGCTGCCTTGTGACAGTTTATCAAGCCAGGCAATGACAATACCTCGCTAAGAAGTACTTGTGGTGTGACTCCGTGGTCAGACCACTCCAACTCTACAACGTTGGGCAAATCCACCTGCCTCTCTGTGCTTTAGTTCTCTTAATTATAAAAGGAGGGTACAAATAGTAATTATTTAATTGGGTTGCTGAAGATCAAGTAAGATAATTATATATAGTGCTTAGAATACTGCTCAGTGCATAGTGAGCACCTGATAGATGTTACCTGCTGCTTTTATCATCCTCACATTCGTCAGTTCCTCTCTTCCCTCTCCGTGCTCCAGGCACACATGCACAAAACTTCCTTGGCTTCAGCAGCCCCTCTCTCATATCACCTCAAACAACTAGATATCTAAAGTAACCGAGGTCCCGTTGGACTCAACACATCTGAGAGATCAGAAATAAAAGGTAGGCGCAGTCATTTTCAGAAAGTACCTCCTTAACCTGCTTATTTTAAGTTTACTGAAAGAACCACCAAACATGAATATGCTAATGATATTCTAAAAGTTAAGGGGCCACCCAGGGTAGTAAAGTTCACCTACTCCACTTCAGTGGCCCGGGGTTCGCAGGTTCAGACCTAGCACACCGTTCATCAAGCTACACTGTGGTGGCATTCCACGTGCAAAATAGAGGAAGAGTGGCATGAATGTTAGCTCAGGGCCAATCTTCCTCATCAAAAAAGAAAAAAGGAAGAAAAAAGTTAAACCCAAGCTGAGATGCCAACAGATAGTGAATGAATGAACATGTTCTGAGAAGTACAGCACAGTTTCAACATCCTTAAGAGCCACTTCACTCTCAAATATGACCAAATTTCACTCTAAGTATCTAGATTTAACAGTGGATAGCAGACAATTGAGCAGCAAGATTAACATATTTAAACCACTCCATTTCATTTCAAACTTTTACAAACATGGCTCTGACTCTAAGCCATAAACACAGTACCATCAAAAGTATCCATCCTTTCTCCCCACAATTTATAGCACTTCAGCTTTTCCACTTGATTTGGTGGCCCTATTTTGCTCCAAGATTTCCCAACCACATAACCTTTGAGTCATTCTTGACTCCTCTCTCTCCTTTCCTTCCTGAATTTAATAAACTACCAACAAATCTGCTGCTGCTTGTTCCAATATGATGCCCTACCCCAGCAACAATAGTGCAAACCTCTATTGTTGTAACCATCTTCCAGGGGGAATTCCAGCTGCAGGCATTCCCTGCAGCCCCAGTGGAAACCTGGGGAGGGCCTGCTAAGCCTCTCTCCTTCCTTTCCTGACTCACAAGGAGAATCGACTCTCAGGCGAAGAGAGAGGGAAACAACTGGGCAAGTGCTTCCTACCAGTTCAGAGCATCAGGAACCAGGGGCTTTCCCACAAGGCCGGGCCAGGCTCTAGGCAAAGGAAAGTTCGTGTTCCAAGGCACAGCCTGGGCTGGAGTTTGTCACCACCCCTTGAAACCCCTTTGAAGCTGGGCAAAAGTTCTGCCGACGCCAAGCTTGAGAGCTCCTCCGCTTACCCTGGGAGGGGCAGTTTCCTGCCTGCCTTTCATGGCCTCTCATATGAGAGAATAAAGTAACAATCATTTTGCGTGATTCTCACTTTAGACAAAATCTAAAAACCCAATAGAATTAAGCTTCATGTGAGAGCATGCTTCGGACAGGCCAAGACCTATTTAGTCCTGAAGGATAATTTTGAAGGATAATTGTACTACCTTAGAGAGCTATCGTCATAATATGCTTACTTAAAAAAATACTGTTTGGAGACTCTTTCCTTCAAAATCAGATTAAACATTCCTAGTTCCTTAAATAATTTTAGTCTCTTCCCCACCTTGACTGTCCTTCTGTGAACATTTCAGGTTGTTGATTTCCCTTAAAATACGGCACCCAAGAGGGAATGCAGGAGTCCAGAGTGAGCCTTAAAGTGAGCCTTTTGCCCCCACATTAGAGTGTTTCCACATATTGACCTAGGCTAAAATCCTTACTCCTTTTTCACGTAAACTGCTCCAAAGTCCTGGTCTTCTTTTCTGGACTAAGGGAATTGGGTTTGAAGGCTTTTGTTTGTGTTTTTTCCCTAGGAGAATCAGAGAACTTTAGAACTGAAGAGTCCACAGAAATTGCTTGTACAGTGTTTTCAAGTTGTGGGTTACAACCCATCCATGGGCCATGAAATCAACTGAATAGCTCACCACCAGTTTTTTCTTTAAAAATGAAATAAAATAGAGTGCGAAATATTAGAGTACATTGCACGTCTGACAGGAATGGATTATCTTACGTAACTTTTGTTTCAGCTTTATATACATGTGTGCATGTGTGTGTACTAGATTATGACACTTGTGATAATTGAGTTGTGGTGAAAAAATTTAAAAGCCACTGGTCTAGTCCGACCAGGAACTAGCAGTGTGCTATAATGGATAAGCATTTGTTTGAAAATCGCTGGTTTCAAGTCTTGACTCTGGCATTTAGGAATTGCATGACCACAGGATGCTGTTAAGCATCACTGAAACTCTGCTCAGTTTCTCACCTATAAAATGGGGACAACAACAGTACTGTCCTCAAAGAGGGATTAAGGAGAAACACGGTAATACTTATTTCCATGAACTGAGCCCTTACTGTGTGCTGGGAAACATAACATGAACTTTACCTGCATTATACTTCTGACCTTCACCATGACAACACTTTATGTTAGATATCATTGTTATCATTCATCAGATGAAGAAATTGAGGCAGTTTGTCTAGGTGTACGTACTTACACATTACATTACACTGGCTCTGAGCACACTATGCCTCTATACAAATGTGATGATGCATTTGAAGTACTTAGCACAATTAGTACTAAACACTTATTACCCACACCAAGGAGCCTTTGAAATTGACTGCCACTCAAAGGGCAGCCCTCCATGAGATTAAGGGTTCATGCTGAAATGCAGGTTGACGTCCCACTTCCCTTAGCAGGAATGTTTTGCTTGTTTCCCTCTGATGAACAACGTGCTCACGTTGCTGAGGAGCTGCAACATTTTGCCAACTCGTGGTCCACACACCACACTGTGAGTAGCACTGTGTTAAACGACATTGTTATAATCGTCACAGTTATCATGATTATTGTTAGCATTATCTGGGACACATATTCAGATCTCGTCTCTCACTGTCCAAAGCTCCTTTTACTGCTCCATCGACAGTACACTTGTGCATTTATTCCTGTGCACTTTTGTCTTGTAGATTTCAGCCCGTGGAAAGCTTTAGAGTCTTTACAATATCATCTCAATGCACCAATTACCCTCCCTGGCTTTGTGTCATCCACACACCTGCTAAGCATGTCTTTTCTCTCTTCATGAAAGACGCTGAGAACAATGTTAATCAGCTAGGGCCGAGGAAAGATCAGCTTTCAGTAAGACAATGACCAGAACAATACTCTCAATCCCCTCAAGGTCTGCACACATCCCCATTGCGGTGTTTCCTTTGCTTTCCCAAACACTCACAAACCCAGACCTCCGCTTTCTAAGAGGAAAATGGAGAGGAAGCAAATAAGCTGCTTTGAAGGCTCCATCTTGTGGTGCACAAGCATCAGTGCACTTCGGTGACTGAAATAAAACGCAGGAGGATTTACAAAGAAGGAGATCATAACAGCCTGCAGGAGCTTAGAGAGTATGTGCATCACCCATGTGATCTGCAGACTGAATCCTTTTTTCTCATAATGTCTCAAAGTAAAATCACACTGGCCCTATTCCTTTTGTTCACCACCGTGAATTAAATAAATGTAATACCACACCTATTCAATTAATGGTCCAGGAAAAAAAATATTTTTTAATGAGCTACAGAGGTAAAAAGAAAATTTTCTTAATACTTTCTTCCATCCATAGTTCTAAAATTGAAATGAAAATTATTTTTCTTCCACTC